GAAAGAGTCCAGCGAAGGGCAACAAAAATGATTAGGGGTCTGGAACACATGACTTATGAGGAGAGGCTGAGGGAACTGGGATTATTTAGTCTGCAGAAGAGAAGAATGAGGGGGGATTTGATAGCTGCTTTCAACTACCTGAGAGGTGGTTCCAAAGAGGTTGGTTCTAGACTATTCTCAGTGGTAGAAGAGGACAGGACAAGGAGTAATGGTATCAAGTTGCAGTGGGGGAGGTTTAGGTTGGATATTAGGAAAAACTTTTTCACTAGGAGGGTAGTGAACACTGGAATGTGTTGCCTAGGGAGGTGGTGGAATCTCCTTCCTTAGAAGTTTTTAAGGTCAGGCTTGACAAAGCCCTGGCTGGGATGATTTAATTGGGGATTGGTCCTGCTTTTGAGCAGGGGGTTGAACTAGATGACCTCCTGAGGTCCCTTCCAACCCTGATATTCTATGATTCTGTGCTAGCCTGGTCTAGTCAGGAAATCTCTTGGGATGACAAAAACTCAGCATCCCAAGAGGTGGTGGGGGGTAGCAGCTGTGATGGTGAAGTTTGCTTCAGTAGTATCTCTCTGTTCTTCTATCTATTCTAGTCCTCCCAAAGTCTCTTTCTTTTAGGACCAAAAAAAGGGAGTGATGCATGCCAGTGACGCTTGAGGAAGCAGCTATGTGTTTAACCTAGGCAGAGAGGGACCTTTAAGGTGGGAGGGGCCCTCTGCAAAGACTTTGAGCAGGAGAATGACCAGATTCTGCTATCAGTGGTGAAGGATTTATTTGTCCATGTTTAGTAGGAGCTTTGTGGTCTCTGGTGTTCCCAGGGTGACTTTAGCTCTGCGTTCTTCTCTGGTTCCTGGAAGGTAGAAACAGTCTACGCAATATCTTTCAAGCAGCCCAAAAATAACTGAGTAATTTGTGTTTGTCTCTTCTTTGGAGTTTTTCTTTCTTTTTTCCCTTTCCTGTATGTATGTATGTATCTTTCTTTCTTTCTTTCTTTCTTTTTCTTCCCACTCTCATTTTATGCTCTATCCCTCTCCCTGCTTATTTCCTTCTCTCTCAGTCCCCCTTGCCTTTCCTGAATCATGCTTTCTCCTCCCTTTCCCCCTCTTCTCTCTTAATATTTTACCCCACTCTTCATCCTTTAATACTCTCTTCACCTCCCCACCAACAGTTTCCTCACCTTCCTCACTCAGCCCAGTTTCTCATTCAGATGTCCCAAAATTGCCACTCTTAGGTCATGACCCCCCCCAATTCCAGTCTACCCCACACAAATCATACGTCATCCACGCTGTCACATACAGACCTAGCCACTTACACACCAGTCATCCTGCCATTCTACCCCTCAGGCCCATATCTCTCACACATTAGTCACCTTACTATTCAGACCCCCAGTCACACGCCAACCTACTTTCTTCTTTAGCTAGTGGAATGTCTCCCACAGGGGCCCTGAGGTCGTTCCCAGCAGTCCCATCCACATGGAAGTGGCAGAGATAGTTTTCCCTGGTCTCCATGGAAGAGTAGAGTAAGAGTGGGGAGAACAGGAGTTGGCCTCTTTCCTTCAGGTCAGGGAAAGTTTGAGCCCCTTACTGAATGGGGGAGGCAACCTAGTGACAGAGGATGTGGAAAAAGCTAATGTACTCAATGCTTTTTTTGCCTCTGTCTTCACAAACAAGGTCAGCTCTCAGACTACTGCACTGGGCAGCACAGTATGGGGAGGAGGTGACCAGCCCTCTGTGGAGAAAGAAGTGGTTCAGGACTATTTAGAAAAGCTAGATGAGCACAAGTCCATGGGGCCGGATGCACTGCATCCAACGGTGCTAAAGGAGTTGGCGGATGTGATTGCAGAGCTATTGGTCATTATCTTTGAAAACTCATGACAATTGGGGGAGGTCTCGGATGACTGGAAAAAGGCTAATGTAGCGCCCATCTTTAAAAAAGGGAAGAAGGAGGGTCCGGGGAGCTACAGGCCAGTCAGCCTCAGCTCAGTCCCTGGAAAAATCATGGAGCAGGTCTTCAAGGAATCAATTTTGAAGCACTTTGAGGAGAGGAACGTGATCAGGAAAGTCAGCATGGATTCACGAAGGGCAAGTCATGCCTGGCTAACCTAATTGCCTTCTATGATGAGAACTGGCTCTGTGGATGAGGGGAAAGTAGTGGACCTGTTATTCCTTGACTTTAACAAAGCTTTTGATATGGTCTCTCACAGTATTCTTTCCAGCATGTTAAAGAAGTATGGGCTGGATGAATGGACTGTAAGGTGGATAGAAAGCTGGCTAGATCATCAGGCTCAGCAGGTAGTGATCAATGGTTCCGTGTCTAGTTGGCAGCCGGTATCAAGCGGAGTGCCCCAAGGGTTGGTCCTGGGGCCGGTTTTGTTCAATATCTTCATTAATGATCTGGAGAATCACCTGGATTGCACCCTCAGCAAGTTTGCAGATGACACTAAACTGGGAGGAGTGGTAGATACGCTGGAGGGTAGGAATAGGATACAGAGGGCCCTAGACAAATTAGAGGATTGGGCCAAAAGAAATCTGATGAGGTTCAACAAGGACAAGTGCAGAGTCCTGCACTTAGGATGGAAGAATCCCATGCACAGCTACAGACTAGGGACTGAGTGGCTAGGCAGCAGTTCTGCAGAAAATGACCTAGGGGATACAGTGGACGAAAAGCTGGATATGAGTCAACAGTGTGCCCTTGTCGCCAAGAAGGCTAATGGCATTTTGGGCTGTATAGGTAGGAGCATTGCCAGCAGATTGAGGGACGTGATCATTCCCCTCTATTCGGCATTGGTGAGGCCTCCTCTGGAGTGCTGGGTCCAATTTTGGGCCCCACACTACAAGGAGGATTTGGAAAGAGTCCAGTGGAGGGCAACAAAAATTATTAGGGGGCTGGAGCACATGACATATGAGGAGAGGCTGAGGGAACTGCGATTATTTAGTCTGCAGAAGAGAAGAATGAGGGGGGATTTGATAGCTGCTTTCAACTACCTGAAAGGGGGTTCCAAAGGGGATGGAGCTAGGATGTTCTCAGTGCTAGCAGATGACAGAACAAGGAGTCATGGTCTCAGGTTGCAGTGGGGGGAGGTTTAGGTTGGATATTAGGAAAAACTTTTTCACTAGGAGGGTGGTGAAGCACTGGAATGCGTTACCTAGGGAGGTGGTGGAATCTCCTTCCTTAGAGGTTTTTAAGGTCAGGCTTGACAAAGCCCTGGCTGGGATGATTTAGTTGGGGATCGGTCCTGCTTTGAGCAGGGGGTTGGACTAGATGACCTCCTGAGGTCCCCTCCAACCCTGATATTCTGTGATTCTATGGACAAGTGAGTGGGAGCAGGCAGTGCTAGCATAGAACAGGACATTGTTCCTTCTCTTCAGCAGCCCTGTGGTCTAGATAGGGGGTCACCACCATCAGCAAATGCCTGGTGGCATGCTCCCTGTTATGTATTCACTCCTGATAGCTCCAAAAGCTTGTGGGAAGAGACTGTATTCCCCTATCTCCTCCATTTGGGAAGGAGGATCAGAGATACCACACCACTGCCAATCTCCCTCTGCCCAGGGCTTCCAAGGGGGAAAAAACTGTGACATTAACCTGTCACTGGTCAGTCACACACATAGAATGGCTGTTCCTCCACTCTTGGGGCTGGTTCTGTTCTCTAGCAGGCCCTGGTCTCTAACCGGCTGGGTTAGAGATGTGCAAATGGCACAGTAATACTCTGCCATAGTCCCCCATGGTGTGGAGATCTCTGAATCTCCTACAAGTGGCACAACACACTTAACAGTACATCTAACTTTCCCAGGAGCTATTTCCTTTCCATTAAGATGAAATGTCCCCCCAGCAAAGAGAGGGCCAGGGTTTTTTGTAGCAAGATGTGACAAACCTTGATCTTGCTCATTTTTCCTACCCTGAGCAGAATTTCCAGTTAAAAAACCAGATATAATCTCCCTCATAGAACGAGAGGAAGAGCCGTGGGTTCCTGATCTTCTGGACTACGAGGAAAAGGAGATGCTGAGTGGCACCTGTGCAGGTGAGGAATAAGCTCAACTGTCTGGAGAACTGTCAGTGAGTAGAATAAAACTCTGGAATTCCTCCAGAAATGCTGTGAGCTGGCACCATTTTGTCCCATTATTGTAACCAATACTCATCATGTTCTCAAGACAGATATCTCTGAGGGCTTCCCAGCCATACTGATTAATTTCAGGTGGGCGTCTGTGACCTCACTTGTTGTTCTGCTGAGAGTTCAGATGGAATGTGGAGGGAGAATAGGGCCTCTCCCCCTCTTTGGGGGAAGAATCTGCTCTCAGTTTATGATTTAGTCCTGTTTGAAACCTGGAACGCTTCTAGTCCTGAAACCATATTTCAAGCTAGACTGTGAGCACTCTGGGACAGGGACTCTACTTATTAGTTGTTTGTACAGTGTCTAGGGAGTGGGTCCCTGATTGGGTCTCCCAGAAGCTGTGGTCAACTTGATTTCTTTTAATTGACTAAATTTTAAAAAAATCAATTCTTCCTTTAAACAATATAACTTAATTTATAACATTTCCTCTAAAATTCGTTACTGGTGCTTTTCTGCTGTGCTGTTTATTCAGAAGGTTCTTTTCACCATTCTTTTACTATCTTATGGGTCACCTGTAAAAAACCAGTAGGTACAATGTGTTCATATGGAAATATGATATTCCCTTTCCCAAGGTTTCCTTTTTCTCCAGTCACTCTTCTCTAGATTCTCATTTTATTCTAACAGGTGATGGGATTGTGAATGAGAATGAGGAGGAGAATCCACACCAGGACAGTCATGAGTCAATGGAACCACATGGCACGTTATCAGGAGCATCCCAAAGGAATATTTCCCAGTGTCCTGAGCAGGATAAAGCTTGTGAGGGTCTTCACAGATCAGAAAGGCACCAAAGAACTCCTCCAGGAAAGAGACGAGGTAAATCAACTGCATGTGAAATAGGTTTTAGGAAACTGCCAGACATTATCCACCTAGGAAATCCCAAAATGGGGAAATCAATCATATGTGATGACTGTGGGAAAAGCTTCCGGCTGAGATCAAACTTCAGACAGCATCAAAGGATTCACACTGGAGAGAAACCCTTTGGATGTGCTGAGTGTGGGGAAAGCTTCCGGCAGCGCTCACATCTTATTCAGCATAAGACAAAGCACACGGGGGAGAGACCCTATGAATGTACCGAGTGTGGGAAAAGCTTCAGTATGAGCTCAAAACTCATTCGGCATCAGATAATCCACACAGGAGAAAAACCCTATAAATGTGGTGAGTGTGGCAAGAGCTTCATTGGGAACTCACAGCTTATCCTGCACCAGAGAGTCCACACGGGTGAGAGACCCTACAAATGTGGTGACTGTGGGAAGAGCTTCAGTGTGAGCTCAGCCCTTACTCAACATCAGAGAACCCATACTGGAGAGAAACCTTATGAATGCGCTGAGTGTGGGGAAAGCTTCCGGCAGCGCTCGCACCTCATTCAGCATCAGAGAATTCATACGGGTGAGAGACCCTATGAGTGTTCCGAGTGTGGGAAGAGCTTCAGTGTGAGCTCTGCCCTCATTCAGCATCAGAGATTTCACACGGGGGAAAGACCTTATGAGTGTGCTGAGTGTGGGAAAAGCTTCACAGTGAGCTCACACCTGATACAGCACCGGAGAGTTCATACAGGGGAAAAGCCCTATGAATGTGCTGACTGTGGGAAAGGCTTCCTTTGGAGATCAGCCCTTCTCCGACATCAGAGAATCCACACAGGACAGAAACCCTATGAGTGTACTGAGTGTGGTGAAAGCTTCCGTCAGAGCGCGCATCTTATTCAGCATCAGAGAATCCACACTGGGGAGAGACCCTATGAATGTGTCGACTGTGGAAAGGGCTTCACTGTGAGCTCTGCCCTCATTCGACATCAGAGAATCCACATGGGAGGGAAACCCTAAAAATGGGCTGAAAGCTTCATGTCAGATATCCCTCCAGAGTCTCCCAATGGATAGTAGCCAGGCATGTTTCTTGCTTTGAGTCCATAAGGCTCTTCTCTTTTCACAGAGAATGAAAACTGCCTTGCTGAGGATGGTCAAGTTAAACAAAGAGGAAATGTTGGTGTAGAGAGATGAGTCATATAGGGGCCTGAGGTGTGGAGAGGAATGTATGGTGGGAGCCAGAGACCAGGAGGTGCTGTGGGCAGCAGGAGGATGGAGCATTTGGAGATAAAAGGGAAGCTGGTGGTATAATTGGAGAGAAGTCATGTTGTGAAGGTTGTCAATAAACATACATTTAAGAGAAAAGATAAAATTGCCCTTTCCCCTATGCCCAGGATGGGCTTTAGACAATTTATAGTGAGATTTTCACAGTCAAATGGGGCTTTTGGTGTATTTCAGGACTCATTGCTATGTAATATCAAGATGAGTGGGATAGGAGTAGGGCTGTTTTATTTCTGGCTCTGCTAGGGATTGTTTTCTAGTGGTTTAGAGAAGGAGGTGGAGAGTCAGGGCTCTTGGGTTCTACTTCCAACTCTGTCATTGATTTTTTTTTCTGTGACCTTAGCTCACTTCACCTTGCTGTACCTAGGTTTTCCTGTCTGTAAAACTGAGATAATATTAATCACCTACGTCACAGGGAGATTGTACTAGTTAATATCTATATTACAGTAGTGCCCATAGGCCCCAATGACAGTCATGGCCTCATTGTATTAGGTGCTGCACGAACAGGATTACATGGTTCCTGTCTGGAAGAGTTTACAGTTTAAAAAAACAGCTTATTTTTTGGGATTCTCTTGTACCTGTTACTAACTTGGAATATTAACAGAGTTATGGGATTAAGGATTCTTTTAGTTTTTCCTCTGAGTGTGGTTACTGCTGCATCTGGAAATGCTACAGCCTATGAGTTTAATTCTCGTTTCAAAAAACATCATCTTCATTATTTTTTAAATTGCTTAAAAATCCATGTCTCCTCCAGTTGCCTGGAAATTTTCTCACTGTCAAGAAGTATGTCAAAAAGATCCCAAAATAGGGTTAGCATAAATCACTATATCCAGCCCATTTACAAATGCTTGTGAACACCAGGAATCGGGTACGTGGAAACACAAGGGATCATTCAGGTTCTGGCTGTATTAAAGAAATTGCATCAATATAATAACTGTAGATGTGCTGCACAGCACAAATTGGGGCTGTCATCAGAGCAGCTCAGTCTGGTAACATAGATATAGTGACACCGGTGCAAATTTCCTTATTGTATACAGGGTCTTAGAACTGGCATGGCTCCTTCCTGAGAGACTGGTTATGTGGACACTTCAGCTGGAGACAGCGTACCCTGTCTTCTTCTTTCTGGAGTGTCTTCAGCACTATTCTTCTCTCTGTGGCTTCCATTTATCTTTAAGAATTTAGCAAATTTTCTTTGTTTAAACTGAACAGCCAGAGCTTGTTTTCAGATGTTCCGGCCAGACTCCATCTCAGGCTTTTGGCTCCCATCAGATGTCCGGATTTTGTCTTGTAGTACTTTTTGGAATCCCTCAATTTCCTGTTCTGTCCCTTTCTCTGGATTAACCCCCCCCCCCCCCCAAAGCATACTCCACTGGCCTATTTTCTCTCAAAGGCCCCCCCTTGGAGGTTTTGGGTCCATAAAACTCAAGCACCAATGACAGACCACTTGTGATCATCTGAATATTGTCTGCTAATTGAAGTTATAAGATTCCACTGTATGGTGTTATTAACACGTTCCAAACTGAGGCTGGCAAACAGGTCTGTCTCAAACAAAGGAATGTGTGCTCTGCTTAATTTGTATTTATATCTGTGTAGAGGTGTATGTACATTGTTTGTGAACTTCAAGTTGAACATGTAGTTAACAGTTCACTCCCCATCCAGGGTATGTGACTTGGCCAGAGAGCCAAACCACAGAAGACCCAGAGAGGGAGTCAGGAGAAAGCGCTGGCTTGCACTGGCCCTCGCAGAGCCAAGGAAGTGGCCACAAAGGTGGGTATGAGTGACAAGGATCCCTTGCAGCATCACACCCTGACTTCCTCTCTGGGTTTCCTTTGGGTTGGCCCTCTATGCAAATCACATTATGGTAATGATAGCTCTAGCATGCGTGGGCCGGGTCCTCTTTGGTAGAGCTGTCTTACAATGGTTGTTTCAATAGACTCCGAGCACCCATCTCTGGAATGGGAGGTCACTGCTTGTGAGTCACCAGAAGGGAATACATGTAGATGACATATCTTGAACAACCACAGTTGCTGTAGAGTAAGTTACCATTCTTTTCTCTTTGCCCTGGGCAGCCCTAATTTGCCATGTGGCCCCAAATCAGGGAGCTACAAATGGTTCCATGGTCCCCTCTTTTCATTCCGTCCAAGTGCAATTCAGGTAGAGTGAAGAATCTAGGTCCAAGTGTCTAGCTTATCTACTACAGCTACCCATTGCCCAAAAGTGCTCCATAAATTCTGTCCTGATCCACTGACTGGCATAGTGATTCTCAGGCCTTTTTGACCATGCATGTGGAACACTTAAAAAAAATTACCTTTGAACAGAAATGGTATTTCAACCTTAATTCTGCTGCAGCTGTGAAGCTGCTCCATAACCTACAAACTGTATCCAGTGCTACTCTCCAACCAAACCATCTATGCAGATGAAGTGGTATCTAACCTGTAACACAGACATACCCAGGCAGGTATATTACCCCTGTGTCTCACCATCTTCTTAATATTTCACCAAAGGGGGTTATGTCTGGTCTCTGCCAAAAGCTAAGAACTAGCTGATTGTTATGGTTATTGTGAGATGTTTGTACAGGAAAATAGTTTTAGAGTTATGTAACATGCAGAATATGATGTTCCAAAACTGTTGGAAGTGAAACTTGTCATCTGAGGCAGGGAGTCTGAGTGTTGACTCCGTCAACATTGAAAACAATTGACGTGGAGCCAGCCCGAGTCCCGTGTTTGCTGTCTGGTTCAGGTGTAGGCTTGCGCATTTACAAAGACAAAAGAGCCGCAAGAAAAGTCTCTGACTAGGGAACCCCCTGCTGTAAGAGACAATAGTCTGTAACTGTGTAAGAGAAGAGGAAAGGGCACAAGATGGTATCCATCATAGAGGTGATATTCAGCCAGTGAGAATGTCTCATGAAAAGTGAATCCCAGCTCTTTGGACTACACAAGTGCTGTAAGGACTGACCATTGGGTGAGAAATACCTTATTAGACAGGAAAATAACTTAATAGGTATAGGCTGTAGGTTCATAGAACAATAGGGTTAGAAGGAACTTCAAGGGTCATCTAGTCTAATCCCCTGCCAAGATGCAGGATTTGTTGTGTCTATACCATCCAAGACAGATGGCTGTCCAGCCTCCTTTTGAAAACCTCCAGTGAAGAAGCTTCCACAATCTCCCTAGGCAGGAAGTTTTATATTTTTTTAACCTGTAACCTTATGTTTCCAAATCCTTTAACTTGCCTTAGTTGAATCCTTACTCAACCTTTGTTAAATAAACGTCAGTTTGGTTTTACTGTAGCTATGTCTGAGTGCCTTGTGCCAATGAGAATGCTGAACTGAAGTGAAGCCACTAAACTGGAGTGCATGGCTTCCTCGGAGTCAGCAGATGTCCAGAAGACAATGGACGGGGCACTCAAGTATAGCAAGGTAGAGTGTGCTAATTGGTAGTCTTCAGAGGGAGAGAGTGGGGGCCGCAGAGCAGTTGTGTTTCCAGCACCCAGTGGTTAGGTAGAGTTTCCCCTGGTGGGCACAGACAAGGCTCCCTCCTGCTGTGAATGGGTGGTAGTGATTTACCCCAAAAGTGTCACATACACCTAATATATCTCTTCACCTCTACCCAGCTCCTAGTCTTGGGGAGGTGTTTTATTTTTATTTTTTTATTTCAGTTTATAACAATATTTTGAAAGCCATCTATGATGCAAATTATCAAACTAGGAAATCACCTGTAAACTAATGGGTTAAATCTCTGCATGCTGGAAGCAAAGCTCCAAATGAGGCAGTCAGAGCCGACTGAGTGGATATTATAGCAACTGGCTTGTCTTGCCTCCTGGGTTGCACTGGCTTATTACTGGGCACTAGCCTCCTGGAGGTCTGAGTTGCCATGCTTGGAGACTCTGGCTGTCCTGCGAGTCATTACTTCCTGGAAGGACCTGGCCCTCTACAGCACATTTGTTTCTTGAGATGCACTATCATAATTGCTGCAAGAGTATAGAGCTGTCTGGCTGAAGAACTACTGCTGCACTGTAAAAGCCACAGAAACATTTTAGAGGCTCATAAGTCACAAAGATTCGTGTATGGCAGATTCAATTTCAGGCATTAAATGCCTTGTAAAAAGAAGTAAATTGAAAATACAGGTCTGTAGCTGACATAAATGATTTCTTATAAACAAGCAGTAATCATAATTCATCCATTCACTGTAAACTCAATCCTGTCAGTAAAGCAGGAGTCAAAACTAAATGCATCAGGGATCTTGGTAGGATTTATCAAATGAAGATCTCAATCCCTTTTGTTTCAATGGCTTTGAATTCCCAGATTTTTGGTCATCTGTTATAAATTTCAACTTTGCCAGTATTCCAAGCCTATTTCTGAATTATTGATTGATTTTCAGTTTTGGTGGAAGCGGGTGCTATTCCTGTACACAGATGCTCAGATTTCCTCCCAATAAATGCTGCCATATTGTCAATGACAGACAGTATATAAGTATTGCCTTCAGAGGGGAAAGTAAGCCGGTCCGGTCTGGTGTACCGGCAAGAGCCGGTACACAGCCAACCGTACCAGCAGGCGGCAGCTTCCCCAGGTGGGCAATTTAAAAGGGCCCTGGGCTCCTGGCAGCAGCCGGAGCCCCTGGCCCTTTAAATTGCTGCCAGAGCCCTGGGGCTCCCACCCGCTTCCGCAGCTACAGCTACCATGGAGCTCCAGTGGTGATTTAAAGGTCCCCTTTGAGTTCTGCCGCGCCTGCCCACATTATGAATAAAATACCATATGAATGGGGGTGACTTTCTCCTATATGGAATGTGCTATAAGCTAGGAAACCATGAGTTCTAGTCCCAGCTGTTCTGTTAATATATCTGCATATTTCACAACTGTTTTGAGGATAGGCAACTATTATGTAACTTTAGGTTTCAGAGTAACAGCCGTGTTAGTCTGTATTCGCAAAAAGAAAAGGAGTACTTGTGGCACCTTAGAGACTAACCAGTTTCCACGGTATGCATCCGATGAAGTGAGCTGTAGCTCACGAAAGCTCATGCTCAAATAAATTGGTTAGTCTCTAAGGTGCCACAAGTACTCCTTTTCTTATTATGTAACTGTTTCATTGTGATGATAACTGAGAGCTTGCACAATGTCACTTCAGGCAGAGCTGGGAATAAAAAACAGGTCTCTGTTATGACAGACCCAAATATTTCCACTTTGCCACACTGCCTCTCAGAATGAGCATGCCAAAACTGTGCTTGGCTATCTCTAACCATTAGACTGTAGTTTTCATAAATTAATAAATCAAGGCCTGAAGGGGCATTATGATCATCTAAGTCTGACTTCTTGTATAACACAGGCCGAAGAACCTCACCTAGTAATCTTTGCATCAAACTTATAATTTGTGTTTGAACTAGAGCTGATGTTTTAGAAAGAATCCACCATGTCCCTAGGTATGTTATGCCAATAGCTAATTAACCTCTTTGTTAAAAATGTGCACCCTATTTCTAATCTGAATTTGTCCAGTTTCAGCTTCAGAATGGATCTCATTCAGCCTTTTTCTGACAGATTGTGTGGTGTATTGAAAATTGTCTTAAAATTATAACCTATCACTTTAAATTCTCAGGGATTTTCCTGGTCCTGCTTCCAGGTTAGTAGTGGCTGTGACGTTGCACTCCATATGTTTATGGAAATATGCTTATGAGTGTGAATATACTGTAACTGGAGTATGCTTTACGCAAAAGGTCTCTTTTAAGGTATCATTACAAAGCTTATAATTTACTGAATGTGTTCATCCTATTTGTATGAATGTATCATTCTTGTGTCTGAAGCTAGAAATATGAAGTACTACTCTGAAGTCCTGTTGTAATTATGCAAAATGTGGTCCATTAATGGTGGTTTAGAATCTTGATGGCTCCCATTAACCAGGACAATTGGTTGTAAATGGCTCTGTTTATTTGTAAGACTTCCTGTGTTCATGTGAGTCAGGCTGGAAAGAATGGAGGCTTGGGGTCTCACAGGACATGTGCCCATGTCACTTGGTATTGGAATCCATCTTAAGCCTGGTACTTTTCCATTTAGAAGGAGGGGTGGGGACCCAGAGAGACAAAATATTCCCTCCTTGTGCCAAAGCCATAAAAGGAGGTGGACCAGAACAAAGCGGGCTGCCAGTCATGAGAAATCCCCTAGTTACCACCTGAGATGGAACTAACAAGAACTGTACCAGGGGAAAGGATTGGGCCCAGACTAGGAAGGAATCTAGTCTGTGAAAGAAGCTTATTGGAACATCTCTGAGGGTGAGATTTACCTGTATTCAGTTTCTTAAATGAAATGTTTTGTTTTATTTTTCTTGGTAACTTACTTTGTTCTGTCTGTTATTCCTTGAAACCACTTAAATTCTTTTTATACTTAATAAAATCACTTTTGTTTATTATTAAACCCAGAATAAGTGATTAATAGCTGCGGGAGCAAACAGCTATGCGTATCTCTCTCTCTGTGTTATAGAGGGCGGACAATTCATGAGTTTACCCTATATAAGCTTTATACAGAGTAAAACGGATTTATTTGGGGTTTGGATCCCACTGGGAATTGGGTGTCTGGGTAGAGGAGATAGGTAACCTGCTGAGTGGTTTTCAGTTAAAGCCTGCAGCTTTGGGGACGTGGTTCAGATCTGGGTCTGTGTTGCAGCAGACTAGCGTGTCTGGCTCAACAAGGCAGGGTTCTGGAGTTCCAAGCCATCAGGGAAAATGGGCTTGGAGGTAATTTCAGCACATCAGGTGGCAGTCCCAAGGGGGTCTCTGTGACCAAACCCATCACAGTGGCCCTCTAGGGAAGTATGCTATCTGGGTCTTTCAGCAGTGCGTCTGCAAAGAGCCAACCTAGAACAGGGTTTCTCAAACTTCATTGTACCTTGACACCCTTCTGACAACAAAAATTACTACATGACTCCAGGAAGGGAGACCGAAACCTGAGCCTTGCCACCCCAGGTCGGGGAGCCAAAGACGAAGTCCAGCAAGTCCAATGCCAGCCAGGGCAACCCCATTAAAATGGGGTCATGACCCACTTTGGGGTCCCAACCCACAGTTTGAGAACTGCTGACCTAGAGCAAGGCGGTGGGAGTTGGGCCTCTTTGCCTTAGGGAGCAACCTGTTTTTAGTTCTGGTGTGTGAAAGTTCTGGATCTTAAGAAATAAAGTAGTGTTATGTTGCAACCTTCCAGAAGGATAAAAACATAAAATACTTCAGCTTCTCTATTTGTATATTGTGAACATAACAGATTAAAGAGCCATCTACTATCAGAAATCTCTTTCCCATGTAAGTATTTATAGACTGTGATTCAGTCAGCTCTTAACCCTGTCTTGGATAAACTAAATAGATTTATCTTCTTTAGTTTCTCACTATATGGCACGTTTTCCAGAGCTCAGATAACTCTTGTATGCTTTTTCAACATCCTTTTTGAAATGTGGAAGGCCCCGCAACACCGCCCAACCTGACTTTTAACGGCCCAGTCAGTGGTGCTGACCGGAGCCGCCAGGGTCCCTTTTCGACCGAGCGTTCCGGTCAAAAACCAGACACCTGGTCACCTTAGTGCCTGCCCTGCTCTTTGAGAGTCTGCCCTGAGGTTGGTTCTCTCAGTCATGAGCCACTCCAGAGAGCATGACAATGAACTGGAGGAAAAGGCTTCAAGAGCAGCCTGTATTTCCATAGACACACCTACTTTCCCTAGGGGATCAGCAGACAGTCCTGCTTTTCCAAAGTGATCAATTTTGGCTGTTTTCAGTTAAAATTCACTTTAGTTTTCGATGTGGGATAATGAAATGTTGTTATCCTTACTGTATGACTAAAGAGCACCAGAACTGAACTTAACATGCCCTAATTAAGGGTTGACAGGCATCCGTTTTTTGACCAGAACGCCTGGTCGAAAAGGGACCCTGGCGGCTCCAGTCAGCACCGCTGACTGGCCCATTAAAAGTCCGGTCAGCGGGCCAGTGGGGCTCAGGCAGTCCCCCTGCCTACCCTGGCTCTGTGCAGCTCCCAGAAGCAGCTGGCATGTCTGGCCCCTAGGTGCAGGGGCGATTAGGGAAGCTCTGCAGGCTGCCTCTGCCCCCAGCACTGGCTCTGCAGCTCCCATTGGCTGGGAACTGTGGCCAATGGGAGCTGCGGGGTTGGCACCTGTGGGTGTGGTCACCGGACAGAGCTGTTGGGGCACCTCTGCCTAGGGGCCAGACATGCCAGCTGCTTCTGGGAGCAGCGCGGAGCCTGCCTTAGTCCTGCTGCACCGCCAGCTGGGAGCTGCCTGAGGTAAGTGCTGCCCTGCTGAAGTCCGTACCCTTTGCCCCAGGTCAGAACCCCCTCCCACACCCTAACTCCCACCTGCACCCTGCACCACCTCCCGCACTCCAACTCCCTGCCCCATCCTGGAGCCCCCTCCTGCACCCCAAACCCCTCATCCCTAGTCCCATCCCAGAGCCCACATCCCCAGCCAGAGCCTGTACCCCCTCCCACACTGCAACCTCCTGCCCCAGCGCTGAGCCCACTTCCACACTCCAAATCCCTTAGCCCCAGCCCAGAGCCCACTCCTACATCCCAAACCCCTCATCCCCAGCCACAACCCAGAGCCCGCACCCTCAGCTCACACTGAGACAAATGTAGCCTTAAAGACTTTTATTGAGATAAATGGAATAGTAATCAAATGGTAAAATAATCAGCGTTACAAAGACAATAATATTGTTTGAGATACATGTGATATTATATAGTATAAAGCTTTTGATTAATATACTCACACCCTTCCTTGATAACCTGGTGGTAAGAGACAAAAGACCAGCCTCGCCTCTGGCATGCCAAGAGAGTTCAGGTCCAGGTTCCTCAATTCTTGAGTGGGAGGTGCAGAGTTTAGGAGAAGCTAAAGAGCTAAGAGCTATAAAGAAGCTAACTTATTTTTACTTAACTCACTGACTTAAAATTTACAATTAAGACCTAACAGCTAATAGACAAAAGGATAATAAACAAAGAACTAAGAACAAAGAAGCCTCCTTGGCATGGTGGGTCACCCCTCTTACAGAGCTTGAACCTTCTATGTCCAAACTTAGTTTCTTCACCCACACAAATGTTGGGGTACACTTACTCCATAGGCTGGTCTGTTTGTAGATATTGATGACATAGGCATACATATTAATGCCATTAGCTCATTCTCACATCCGTTGTTTCTGGCCTAATTGGTTCTTTCGGTTCTTTCCAAGTTCTTTGTGGTGTATCTCTTAAGTTTAAAGAGGGCATGAATTTAGGAAGTCCGCTTATACCAATCTGCTTCAACGCATCCTTTATCTATCTATGTTATAGGCTGCAGCCATATATGGACCTTAGGCTTTAGTTCATTGCCACCTATCTAGGTGAAAGGTCCCACACATATGTACACTAACTTTGCCTTAGCTCAACGTACAAGATGTGGCCTGTAGATCCCTTGCATTACAGCAAGGGTTCTCAAACTGGGGGTCGGGACCCTTCAGGGGGTTGTGAGCTGTCAGCCTCCACCCCAAACCCCGCTTTGCATCCAGCATTTATAATGGTATTAAATATATAAAAAAGTGTTTTTCATTTTTAAGGGGGGGGGTCACACTCAGAGGCTTGCTATGTGAAAGGGGTCACCCGTACAAAGGTTTGAGAACCACTGCATTACAACCAAAAATGCTCTAATATACACCTATAAATCTATTATAACAAAACAAATAAACCCATAAGAAAAGAGATACATATAGTAACCCCTCACTTAACATAGTCCCGGTTGTTTCATTGTTACGTTGCTGATCAGTTAGAGGAAATGCTCTATGCATGCTCCCTTATAACGTTGTTTGGGCAGCCACCTGCTTTGTCCACTGCTTGCCAGAAGAGCAGCTCATTAGAGCTAGCTGGTGGGGGCTTGGCACGAGATAAGGGCAGCCCCCTTATTAGCTCCCCTAAGTTCCCTGTGTGGCAGCTGCCCAGCAGGCTATCAATTGCTGGGCAGTTCACCTGTCATTCCTCGCATTGCCCTGTGCTGCTCTTGCCCTCTGCCTTGGAGCTGCTCCCAGGAGCCTCTTGCTTGCTGTGCAGGGGTGGAGGAAAAAGGGGTGCTAATGTTAGGTGTCCCCCTTCCTCCACTCCTGCCCCCCCCGCTCCTGTACCCCATCTCCATAGAACGGTGTGGGGGACGACACACGACAGGGCTCAGGACTGTGGGAGCTTACTGGCAGCAGCTGCTGTCTAAACTTGCTGATCTACTTAAAAAGGCAGTGTACTTAGAGTGGGATCAGCGTACGTAAAAGGGCAATGCGTCTCTCTCTCTCACACCTACCGTGTCTCTGTCTCTCTCTCCGCCGTGCTGTGTGTCCTCCCTCCATTCATGCTGCCTTGTAGAGTGTGAGGCTACATTAACAGCAATGTGTTAACCCTTGAGGGCTCAGCCGAGTGCTAGTTCATCATTTAGCAATAAGGCATTCCCTGGGAAATATCCCACCCTCTTCCACCCTCTGACTCCACCACCTTAACCACGCTTCACAATCTTCATTACTGTGTACAGTATTAAATTGTTTGTTTAAAACTCATACTGTGTATATAATATAGTCTTTTGTCTGGTGAAAAAAAATTCCCTGGAACCTAACCGTCCCCCGCTGCCCCATTTACATTAATTCTTATGGAGAAATTGGATTTGCATACATCATTTTGCTTAAAGTAGCATTTTTCAGGAACATAACTACAATGTTAAGCAAGGAGTTACTGTATAGGCAAGCAAGCAGGCCAGCCCTATAGGCCACATCAGAGAGGATGGGGATGTGGAATCCTCTGCCCTTAGTGATTTCCTATGTGGTGTGTGGCTGCTGTTTAAAGAGTCCTAGATATCTTTTGATCTTTTTTCTCCAGTGTTTAAAGACAGAGTTGATTGGACTCAATTTGTAGTCCTTGTTTCTACTTACCAATCACTGGTGCTGAAATCAGTGATTTAGGGGGATGAAGCTTAAACCAGTGTTGTGATGAAAGGCAATATAGAGAGGGAAGCAGCGTGAGGTTCCCCATTACCCAGAGAAATCAATAAGAGCTGACCTCATTGGGGGTGAGTGAACCATGGGCTTGGGGAGGCTGGCCCCCAGCCTGGCCCACCCCTCCCGTCCCGTTGTGCACCTGAAGCCCAGAGGTTCCCCACCACCCACCTGGTGGCTGCCATCCCCCTCCTCCCAGCCTCGGGTCACCCGAGTGCCTCCAGCCCCAGAGTGCCCGGTGGGCAGCGGGTGGTTCCCCCCCAGCCCCGGAGTGCCAAGTGGGCAGGTGGTGCAGTCTCCCCTCCTCCCAGCCCTGGAGCACTGGGCAGCATGGCCCCAGCCATCCCAAGAAGTCCCAGCCACCCTAGCTCCAGGCCTAGCCCCAGCAGGCTTCCCAGAAGAGAAGCAGCCTGCCTGGGCTGGGGTCAACTAGTAGCAGGAGGGGGCCTTGGCACAGCCTTCCCCAGCCTATTATACATGCTGCCCATGGCTGAAATCATTAAGAAGTAGGTTATGTGATAGAACCTCAGAACACAATGAGCAGTGGAGGAATTGCCCGACCACTATCCCCCTTCAGGGGTTGGAG